CACTGAGCCCCTCCCAACTTCCCACTCCATCCACAGCTTTGAGGGTACATCAACTGGAACGATTTCAAAAAAACCTCAAACCAAAACAAAGAAAAAACAAACAAAAAACCCTCGCCATAAATTAAAGCAAAAATTAAGGCTACTTATTTATTCCGAGAAGGAATATTTAGGTTGGGGTTTATTGAATTTAAAGCAATCTTATTTCCCCACATCAATTCATACACCTGATCCCTCTCAGCCAAAAATGTTTGCCTTTGACAGCAGAATTCTCTTCCTAACATTGCTCCTCTTTTTGGCTCCCTTTGTAGAACTGTCAACTTTGAAGGATCTTAGGACAGTCACAGCCCCTGAATTAGTTCACTTTGGTACCTACTAGTGAGCCTGTAAGGAATTGTTTTAAAAAGACATTGTTAGAAAGAATTCAGGGAACATTTTATCCTGAGATTTCTTTCCTAAGCTCATTTGAAAGTTTCCAGTGCAAACTTGTTACAGGCATTAGCCTGCTGTTCAGTTTTTGTCAAAATCCATGTCACGTTGGTTTAGGAGGATTTCAGGATTTTCAGGACATAATTCTTCTGCCTTCCCAGTTCCTTGTGTGTCTTAGAAGTTTTGCCAGGACTGAGGAATTAGTCAGAGGGGATGGGTAAATATTGACTGGTATAAAAGTGAGGTAAATGCACTGAAGAGAAGGTAAGATGAGTCCATCAGTTTAACAAATGCAGTCACTCCATTCCTGTGGCATTTTTTCACTGTTCTCTCTTCCAATACAAAGCAGCAGCCTAACAGATAGAGACAGATTTGGCTTCTAATTAGAGATAGGTGAGGAAAAAGAAGGGCTCTTAGTACAAATGGCAAACTCTAACACGTACTAAAACAACCCAGCAAGTGAAACAGGTACCACATCTGTGATGTTGCATCCCTGAATCTCAAAAAGGGATGTCATCTGGAATTTAGAATTACTCAGTCATCTTTGGTCACGACACTGCTTGTGGTGAGACCCTGGGAAAGGAGTAAAACATCCAAATGCAGCTTTTCACACAAGACTGAACGTAGAGTCTTTGTTGTCAGGGCTGGAAGTTAACCAGAAACCTGGGGCCTTTGAGCTTAGTCCGTGGCAAAACTCCACTTACAAGGCAACAGTATCAGACCCTTAAGAGCACATAGAAGGCCAGTGTGGAATCACAGAACCACTGGGACCCGTTTCAAATGGAAAATGTGAACTCGAGGGAGGAACGAAATCAAGAAGCACAAAAATGTAGCTCTCAATTTATCCAAATCTGACAGCAGGACTTCACCTAACAAAAAACAGATCAGCCTGGCAAAAGGTTTTCCTTTTTTTTTTAAAGGAGGTTCAGTTTTATTCTGGGATCATGATAGATTGTCCATGATCAAGAACCCTGCACTGATGTAAAAACTGCTGTTACTTGACACCATCATCACATAGACTTTCCATTGTGTAGCTGCTCCTCTGTGCTTCCAGGTTTTCACACCCTGTACCAATGAACTGTATATATTTGGGTGGTTTTGTTGTTTTTTTTTTTTTTTTAAGTTGAAAACACAGAATTGTTAGCCCAAATGGCTTTCAGACATGCCTCGAGCATGGTTTTGATTTCCAGCTGTTTTTCCCTTCAAAAATTCTTGCAGTTTAGCAATTTTGTTTGCACCAACAGCCTCCCCAGGCTGGCAGGAACTTGGCTGCAAAGGCTCTGGGAACAAAGTCAGAGTTCTGCCAATAAATAGAGGTGCAACATGAAGGTGTGTGTAGAGAGTGTATCAACTTGTTTTCCAGGTAAATGTTGTTTTTTCATTGCTGTTTTTTCCTTCAAGACAGGGCAAGTCAGAAAAAGTCAGATTCTATGACTCTCATTGAGAGTATGAGTAAATCTACACTAACTACAGTCCAAAAGCTGTACAAGTACAAACCCAGAAATTTAAACAGTCCAGTATCTTTTTACTCCCACTCCAAATTTGGTAGCAACTTTGTACATAGGTCAAAGTCATAACGAATAATAAAAAAACCACTTCCAACACATATTTGGATTATTATTAGTCGAGCTGGAAACAGATACATGAAATCAATATTCACGAGATTATTCCGTTCCCACTGGCTTCAAAGGAACTGCAAATGTTTTACATTAATAATGAATTTTCTTTTAAATCCAAACAGGTTAACTGTGTAATACTGCTGAGTTTTCTACTTTAAACGTGTCTGTGGTCTCTTTATGCACAAAAGAGACTGAACTCGGGAATCCAAAAATCAAATGTACTTTGATGGAGTTCATATCCTTTCATTTTCAACACTGCTCCTTATTTCCGCACCAGAAAAGTTGTTATATTTGTTCCCAGTCCAGACACTGAGTCATTCCTGTTTAAACCAGACACTGGGCTCTCTGGGTAATTTCTCTCTCCCCTTCGGAGTTTTTGGACTGAGAGGAAAACTGTAATGCCAGGTGCCTCCCTAAGCTCCATTTCTGAAGGTATTACTGTAAAAACACACCGAGGTGCTAAATGCTGCCAAGGGCCACGGAAACTCTCTGAGCTCTGGTTATTTCAGAGGCAGCTCAGTCAGGGAATACTCACTGATTCAGACAGTATGGACAGACTCGGAGTTTCCAGTTAGAAAGCTTCATCTTCTTGCTCCAAAAGCCTCTCTCCTGACACTCTGTCGTGATGCAGTGACAGTCATATGGATTATTTCATAGCAGGTAACCTGGCAGTTAAAGGTAAGAACTCTGCAAGTCTCTCTCTCTGTCAATTTTATTTCCTTGGGTTTTTTTTTCCTTAAAATGTTCGTGTAACTTAACGGAGTTGAAATTCAAGGATTCAGATATTATTCATATTTTGTGTTAAAAAACCTTTGTGTGGTAAAGCTGTTGAACAGGGGGGGGTACCAGAAACTCGGCTGCTCCTCTTTCTGCAAACAACCAACCCCTGAATGTTCTGTTCCCACACGGCCACTTTGAACAATGCCTGTTCCCAAAAGTACCTACTTCATTCCAAAGCATAAAACTGAATTTATTTTCAAAGGGATTAAGCTTCCAAACTCCCCTCTATTGGTTGTGTAACATAACTTGTATAGACGCTTAGACTCACACTCCCACTGAGGTGGTTTTTTAGAACTACAGACATAAAGGTTGGAGAAACTCTTTAAATTTGTCCATTTTTTTTCTCAATTCCAATGTGTACCACTAGATGGCTTCCCAGGATAGTGCATCTGGATCCAGAGCTGAGTGAACGTGCGGGACTGGATTCATTTTGGCACATTCCTAATGATATATGCAGATATAAACCCGAAGTCCCTTCCAGCTCAGCTCTGAAGACAGCATTGTGAGGTTTGACATCCTTGAGAACTTTCGACATCCCCAAAGCTTTGCATTTTAGGTTATTTTATTTCTGATTGCTGCCACAGCTTCCTGACTGGGCATGAGCAGCTCTCAGGTGAAATGTGCAGCTGGAGCCCCCTCAGAAAAGCTTAATCTGTACAGCTGAAAACTTAATTTACCTACCTAATGCTTGACAGTGCAAACAGCCAGGCTGGGGGGCCCAGCTGCAACACACTCTGCCTTTTCTCCTGTTATAAAGAGCTGTGGAGACCTTCTGGTGTTGCAACTGTGTCCTCATCACTGGACAAAAAAAGGTCTTGGAAAGGCAGAGAGAACACTCTTTGTTGTGAGAAGTGAGTGTCCCTCTGTCATTTGGACTCTGCCATTTTCACTGCCAACTACTAAACCGCCAGCTTTCAGCAATGCAAACATCTTCCAGCGTGGAAAATCCATGAGGTGTCATGTTGGCCATGAAAACGCTGGTCCAGTGGTACTGGATGGTGACTATCAGCCTAGGCTGGGCTCAGCCTGCCAATCTAGAGCTGAAAGTAGCCTTTCCCTCCATGCCAGCTTATCTTAGGCAAGCAGCTCTCTGCCAGAGCTCCATGGTGCAGAGATGGTTCCTGCGAACTCAGCCTAAACCCCGACTGTTCCTGGACCTACTTTTCCCTGGGCTCAGGTCAGACCATAGCACCTTCTTTCTGGGTGAGGGAGGAGGCAGGGGCTGCCCGGCTGTGGTTCCAGCACTTTGGTTCCAGCAGCCAGCCCGAGGTGGCACCAGCTCAGAGTGGCACGGAGAGAGCCCAGGGCAGCCTGGAGGGAGCCCAGCAGGGCACGCAGTGAGCCCAGCACGATGTGCAGTGAGCCCAACAGGACACGCAGCCAGCCCAGCACGGCATGAGCCCAGCGTGGCACGTAGCAAGCCCAGTGTGCCCACGAGCCCAGCGTGGCAATGCAGCGGGACAAACAGAGCCCTGAGCGCACTCGGCAAGCCCCAGCATGGCATGAGCCCAGCGTGGCCTGCAGATGGCCCAGCGTGGCAATGAGCCCAGCGTGGCAATGAGCCCCGCCGTGCCCCCAGCGGGGCCCGAGCCCCCCCCCCCCCCCCCCCCCCCCCCCCCCCCCCCCCCCCCCCCCCCCCCCCCCCCCCCCGGTGCCCGCAGGTCGCCCCCGGTCGGTCCGAGCTCGCCCATCCGAGCCGCGCTCGGGGCCGCGGCGGGCGCAGCCGGCGCGGGGGAGGGCAGAGCAGCGGCCACTCCCAGGAACAGTAGTGAAATCTCCCCGACACTTTGACTGTCAATCAGGCTTAATGGGGTATAAAAACCTCCCCAGCGCCGCGGCCGTGATCGGCAGACAGAGCAATGGGGAGAAATGAGTAAGAGCCGGAGCTGAACTAGTGCAGTGCACGGCGTAATTCCTGCTCTGTGATCCAGGCGCTCCAAGTGAAAAAAAAAAAAAAAAAAAAAAAAAAAAAAAAGAACAACCGGGAGAGGGGGCAGAGAGAGGCGGAGATCAGCTCAACCTTTGCAACCGGCTCAGGACAGAACGTCTATAGATATTTATAGATATAAAAACAAAAACAAAAACCTCACCCTGAATAGAGCCTTTCTTAAAAAGAAGGTCCTGGCAATTCTGTCTTATTTAAGCAATTTCCTGAGTCTAAGAATAGAAATGAGCTGCCTGGAAGGCACTGCAGGCTGAAATTTGGAGACATAGGCTGCTTTATTTTATTTTTCCAAATATAAAAACCTTCCATTTGGATATTGGATTTTTATGTGGCTCTTTGCAGCGGAGGGATGTGTGGTTTCTTTTAATTTTACTCTTTTTTTTTTCTCTTTCTCTTTTAATTATTAAAAAAGCCTTCCAGTTAAAACGCAAGGAAACCGTTTTACCTGCATGTGACAATCCCAGAGGACACCGACCAAGAAACAGGGGAGTGACTTGGTCTTCTGCACTACTTTACTCCTACCCCCATTTTTTTTTAATTTTATTTTTTTTTAGGGGGGAGAGAAGGATTTTTGCAGCCCAAGAACCTCTTGCCCCCAAGTTTTGGAAGGGGGGAGGGGGGGTTGAAGACTTGTCACCCACCTGGGGGTGCACGAAGGGCATCGCTTTTCTTTCTGTGCCAACTTGGTTTCGTGGAGGTTTGGAAGAGAATTTTTGCCCGGGAGAAGAGGACGATGATGTGGAAGTGGCTGGGCGCCCTGCTGCTCTTCCCGGTGCAGATGGTGTATCTGGTGGTGAAAGCTGCCCTGTGCCTGGTGCTGCCGCCCAAGCTGCGGGACCTGTCCCAGGAGAACGTGCTGGTCACCGGCGGGGGCCGCGGCATCGGTCGCCACCTGGCCCGGGAGTTCGCCAGGAGAGGAGCCAGGAAGGTGAGAGCATCGCCACGGAGGGGAGGGGGGAGCGCCCACCTGCTGCTCTGCCGGGGAGTCCCCTCCCCGCCAGGTGGGATTGACGGGATCGCCTGGAAAAGCTGATGGAGAAGGGGCTCTCGTTCTGCAGAGCCCCGGCGTGCTGAGCCACCACACTGGGGTGCATTTCAGAAGTTGCCCGCTCCTCCTTCCCCCCATCCTGCCTTTCCCCGTCTCACCCAAGAAAACGTGACGGCTCTGGGAGAGCGGGGACAACAGTTCCCCGCCACCCCGATGGGTTTGCGTGGACGGAATTAATTTCTTGTGCTTCCTGAAGCCCCTTGTATTTTGGTGTTGGGGCAGCCCAGAGCTGCCCAAAGGGAAGATGAATGAGAACCCAGCAAGGAAGGAAAGCACAGCTCGAGCGGGAGCTGCGAGGTTGTTTGCACGTTTCCTTTAGGAGAGAGGGAGAGAGGCTGAGACTGGTGTGTCTGCACAGCAGCCCAGAAATGCCGGTGTAGCTGCTGTGTGCATTCTCCAGCTCAGGAACTGGTGGTTTACCTTGAAATGTTGTGTTTTCCCAAGTACAGGTATGTGCGTGTGACTCAGCCAGGGATACAGAAACGCACAGCCCCGAAATGAGGCTTGGGATGGAAAGTTTCATCTCCCCCTTGATGGGTAATAAAGGGGAGGAATGGTGAAATTAGACAGCTGCACAAATACTTCTCTGTGTGAGAGGATGAATGAGAGTAAATAGAGGATAGAGAAGAGGAAAAATACAGAATGGGAGGATATTTAAAGAAAAAAATTTGCATTTAGTTTGGGATAATGTTTTGTCACTTCCTTACACATGCATTACAGTTTTCCCTGTGTGGTACAGAGCTATTCTGGCATTCAGCTCCGAGGTGTAAAATATGTCAGCATTGAACTTTGATGTTTGTCTATGTTTGTGTTTAAACATCATGTTGAGATTTACACATTCTGGGAGTCAGAGCAAACAAGTTGACTGACCTTTGGACCCAAGCAATTTGCTGAAAGTGTATTTATATTATCTGTTGGAATACCACGCCTCATTATTTATTTATTTAGGGCGGCTGGTTGCTATGCTGAGCTCTGGCATTAAAGTGCCACCATTTCTACAGCTCTTTCAAGAGCTGCTTTGCTGCAGTCGAGCTGGGAGCTGAACAATGGCTGTTGGCCCTGAGGAACCAGGGGACAGGGGCCAAAAGGAGAGGGGGCTGTTTGAGAGAGAGAGCTGGGATGAAATCACTGTAAACAGGCACAGACTATAGTTCATCTTATATTTTATCTATAAAATCTCCACGCATCTTAGAAGGAAAGAATAAATGACAGTAATGTTTGGGAACCTTTGTACTGGTCTCGCATAATGTTGTGAAATGCTCTGTTTGCTCATTATTGGTTAGAACTTTGGAGGGGGGGGGGGGTTGCCTTTTGGGATGTTTTCATGTCTGTCATCAAGGGGATTTTAAGTTTTTGTATTGACTCAGTTTGAGTTTGATTGTGCTTTCAGTTACATCATGGCCATGCAGTGAGCCAATATGGAACTCAGCAAGTTCTGATCCCCTGGCAGTGCCACTGCCCGTCAGCCTTTGGTAGAAACACCAAACTCGACGTATTCTCCTTAACACTTCTAATGCCAATTTTACCTACATGTGGTAGTTTCCATTCCCATTGCTCTGAGATTTCATTGCTTTCCCACCTTCTGTACCCAACCCTGACTTTGTGGGTTTGGTGCAGCCTCCATGGACTGAGCAAAACCTCTGCTTGGCACCGCTCTTCGACCTTACGCTTTGCCTCAGACAACCAAAAAGACATGAAAAAGACCTGAAGTGGCTACCAAGGCAGCTTTTGCTAAGGCTTGTGAAAATTGACTGTTCTGGTTTTCTCTTCTCTTTTTACCCCATTAACTGTTTTACAATTACATGCAAAGCTTGAACTATTGATCACAATTAATAATTAACAACGGACTCCGATGACGGGGCGGTGCAGCTACAATATTCCGAGTTTAGAAAAAGACATCCACCAAAGGCGTGAAATTCCAGGGCCCGGCCCAGTGTCCCAAGGAGGTGAATGGCAGCAGGAACAGGCAGGTTCAGGTTCCAGCAGTGGGTGTGCAGCGTGTCCTGTCCAGGTCCCCCCCGGCGCCTGCGCACACAGACATAGTGGCGGCCTTTTGGAGGTAGGCGGCGATATATAACCATATTTTTGAGATTAGAATCTCCACAAAGATAGGTTAGTTGGGACTGTGAGCATATGAAATTTCCTCTGGTGATTAGACTGGATGGGATTTCGCCTGGCACTCTGTTTCAGAGGCTGGTTTTGTTAACTGTGCCTGAGCCGTTTCCACGCGAGGTGGCAAACGTCGCGTCTCCCCAAGGTTACGAACGGTCACATCTGCGGCTCTTTGACTGTAAAATTTGGTCTTGCATTTAGAGCTACGAAGATGGCAAGGAATGAATCCCAGAAGGGTTTATGCAAGTGGAAATACAGTGGCTTCTGCTCGATCCACGAGCATGGAGACTGAAATTCGCAGTTGAGAGAATGGAATTCTCTTGGGGATGATCATTTAAAATCCATCCAGATTCCCATTCTCCCATTTTTTTATGTCCATTGCTCTGCCATTGTGACTCGGACAGATAAATGTCTAGGAGACATTTTCTTCTTGGGTGATGTTTCTTTTCCAGTGGTTGTTCATTGGCCTCTCTGATGAGATGGCCAAGAAGGGCACAAAGCCGTGCCGGTCGTATTTGCAACTTCACCATTTCCTGCTTATTTTCAGTTACGACTGCCAGCGATTTGTAGGCAACGAGACACTTTAATCATTAGACCCATCCCTGCTCAGGTGTATCGTGAGATGTCAGAGGATCCGTGCTCCATTTGTAATTTCAAGTAGCTGTCAAGGACTACTTGGTCATGGGAGGCCTTGTGTATTGAAGCGCTTCCTGGAGCACTTCTGGAAAACGCCCAGAGCATGTAAATGAGCTGCATGCAGAGCTGGAGTGCTTGCAGATGATGCAGGACATGTTAGTGTTATTATGAGGGATGAACAGCGCTGACTTTTCTCCGGAAATGCTCAAGTGTTGTAATTCAACTTCCCAGAGATGTGTCCAGATTCGTAAGTGCCGGCTGAGGAGCTACTTTGCTGTGGCCGAACTGCTGGACAAATGAGCTTTCTCGGCTTTCCAGTTCCTTCTTGGTTGCTTGCAAAATTCATAATCCTCGCTGTTGTTGGCCTGAACTCTTGAGAATTTTGCCTGTACCCTACAAGTGTTTGGGAGCAGAGCATCACCCCTGCCTCAGCCTCACACACTGGTAGCTCTGTCGAGGCCCGTAGCTGTCGATAACTCTGTGGTGAGCCAAAATGGCAGAGAATGTCTGTTAATGAAACAGGAGAAGGAGAGATTTTTATGAGTTTATGATTTAATGCCTATGAAATAAAAATCCACTTCCAAGGCCTAATGGTGTTTTGCAAAGGCTGTACTGTATAATCCAGTTAATTTTGGGAAGACTGGCCCCTTTGAACAGTGTTTCTTGTGTTGGAGAACAGCCCTCTGCAGATGTGAGCAGTCAAGGGGGTGTGGGGGCTGAATGGGTTCATTCACTGGTGGGTGCAGTGGGAAACTGCTCCTGGTTTCCTCACAGCCATTTGCTTTTCATACAGCATTTTCATTACAGTGCCTTTGCCAGCGAGTTGTCAGCCCTGGTTTTGATGGTCTCCAGTGCTGAAGTTTTGATTGATGTGTTTTTTGTATGCCTTGCTCTTTTGTTAGGCACTACTTGAAAGCTTCTGCTTTGAACACTGATCAGAGATTGTTGTTGTTGTTGTCTTGGTTTTATTTTCCTTACATCCCTCCTGAATTTGTTTAGGCTACAGAAATAACCAACAGCCCTGAAATCTCAACTGCTCTTTCCATCGTTATTTTCACAACATTTGTCAAAGGCAGACTTCATGTCTGCATTTTGGAAGGTTCCTTTTTTCATTTGGGTGTGCTGTCCTCTTTCAGTTCAGTGGCAACTGGGGTGGTAAGAAGTTGGTGGAGGAAGGAGCACCAAGGAAGGGATGAGAGCTGTGCAAGCCCACCCTGCTCCTGAGACCTGGAGTTTCCCCTCAGTGTCTCACCAGCTCCACCAGAACCGAAAACCTCAGGTGCCTGAGAGCCTTGTGTAACTGGAGGGGTTTAGCTGGGTGAGATTTGAGGCTGTTAATTGTGTTTAAACTGAGAAGGATTGCGGAGAGGTTACGTAAAAAATGGTATCAGGTCTTAGAATTTGGCCTTGTGTTCCCAGTAATGGAAAATCTGGCAAGTTTTGAGATGAGTTTTACAATGGCACGTTCCTCCCACGCAAACTGCATCTGTAGGTCTATGAATTTTTCACTTTGGTCTTTATGAATCACATTGATATGTTATTTCACAGAATAATCTGAGTTGGAAGGGACCCACAAGGCCCATCAAGTCCAGCTCTTAAGTGCATGGCCTGTATAGGATTGTCCTGGTTTGTAGGGATTAGAATATACCTTCTAAAAACTTCTTCCTAACACATACCACTGCTATATGATAAAAGATGAACTGCATTGTGAATAGAGCTGGAAATTAAATTCATCCTGGTCTCCTGAAGTGAGGGCAAAATACCAACACTGCTGCTCTTCCAGAGCTGTGACCTTTTTTGAGGAGCAGCACAACAGCTATGAGTATTTCACATGGATTCAGTAAAACTTCTTATTCCAAAACGTCCTCTAAGATGTTGGCCATTCTCAAATACTCACCTGTAGAAGACTCTTAATAACCTGTACTGGAGAGCAACTCCTGCCTAAAGAAAAACCTGACATGAAATTGGGGGCACACAGGAAGGTGAGTGTGCCATGGAGCCCCCCCCGGATGGGCTGCAGCGTTCCCGACCTGAAACGAGTCCCCTGGCAGGTACAAAGGAGTGGGGAAGGGATGAGAAAGCGTGAGATACCTGCAGCAACCTCAGCAAGCCCTTCTTGCTCCTGTCAGGCT